TATTGTACTGATCCATCAACATTTTCCCAAGGAGCTGTTAAAAACTAACAAAACAATCTAATAATAATGATCTTAGACATTAACATCCACTAGATTTACTTCTGCATTTATCTTTGGTAAAACGTGAGTTCAGACTCTTTATTCCTTTAAAAGGTATATTTTTTACTAACAAGACATACTATTTTTTTAAATATAAAATCTAAGCAAAACATTTTCAGAAACCACAAAATGGGAACAACTATGGCAGTTTTAGATGCTGAAGTCAAATTTACAAAGTAATCATTGGATGAACATCTACAACTTGTTGACCTTTAGAGTCTACCCAATTCAAGATGGACACTAAAATATTATAACTCAGTCCTTCTCAGGAAGATGATTTTAGTTTGAAACTTTGGCATAATAATGGTTTTAGTAGCTTTCAGTAGTAATAGTGGTTTTGAACCACTTTGGCCCCAGAAACCATCTAATCACCAGCAAACTGGTTGGTCCACTATGGGAGTGTGCTGTTTGTGGGACTGAGTTTGTTTGTGGCTCCTCGGACTGATGAAGTCCTTTGGATGAAGGATGAAACATCTCAACACACAAAAAAAACATCCAGATGACCTGACTGAACTTTGTTAGATTTTCTACCTGAATTATTGAGCATGAACTTTGATGTTTTGAACCACTTTGGCTATGGCTGCCTCAGAGGAGTGGACGGGGGAGAGGGCGGGCCCCAGAAACCATCTAATCACCAACAAACTGTTTGGTCCACTATGTGAGTGTGCTGCTTGTGAGACTCAGTTTGATGTGGCTCCTCGGACTGATGAAGTCCTTTGGATGAAAGATGAAACATCTCGACAAAAAAAGAAACAAGCCAATGAGCTGACTGAACTTTATTGGGTATAAAATAATGTTTACACTTTCAGTAAAGATTCAGTGACAGGGCAAAGTCCAGATTCATTAATCCTCTCGACATTCTTCTTACTGGGTTGATCCTAAATCAATTATAAATGTAAAAACTACTGACTTTCTCCTTGTGTGCCAGGATAGTTAGCAAACAGTTCTATTTTGTTCTTGACCTTAACTTTCAGGCACATCTGTCAGGTTGGCTGCCCTTCAAATACTCGTAATATCTCAAGACATCAAGCTGCGATCACATTTTTAGGTTTTTCCATCAGTTTTTCTCCTTTACTTAAAACGACCAAAACCTATAAAGTCCTTCCACTGATGTGACCTCTTCATTAAAGGGGGAAAAAAAAACGTCATTGTAAAGACTTTTCAGCTAAAGGTCATGGGGGACATGCGCTGTGGGTTCAAGAGTCAGCTTCATCTTGCTTTCCAGCCACTCGAGCATGAAATTGAATTAGTCAGCGGATAGCTGCTGCCATCTAAAGGTCAGTAAGAGGCATGTATGAATGAATGTATGAATCAGAATATTTGCAGATTATATAGATTTATTCATGGGATTATAGGATATTTTATTGACTTCTCAACAGTCCCAAAAAAAACAAAACAACAAAAAAAGTAAGACAAGTACTGTATACAATTACAATTATAAAAGAAAACATTTGACTTTTTTTCCCATCCACAGTACATGTAACCTGGAAGTCTCTGGTGCATAAATTGTCTTGCAGTGAGAGACTACAAGTCATGCACTGAAGCATGAAATTAAAGTTTCTGATGGATACAGTCTGACACACACACACACACACACACATTCTTGTAAACGAAATTTTGGGGGGCTTTGCATTGACTTCCATTCATTTTCTATTGCCTAACCCTGACCCTTACCCTAAACCTAACCCCCGATGAAACTTCTCCTTATCAGTGAATGATTTTGTTGTAAAATTGGTCCCTACAAGGTAACCTGAAACAAAAACACACACACATGCGCGCACACACACAATAATGTACAGTAACTATTTCTTGACACATAAAGCTCAGAAGCAGAAAGTTTTCATATCCAGTCATTTTATTTTAATACAAAAACTAGATCAGGATTTTAAACACGAGTTTATTTCTGTAAGTGTACCCTCACAGACATTCCTCCATGGCCTGCAGTTCTTGTAGTTCAGGGCAGTGTGGGCCACAGTGAAGGGAGAGGATTTGTCTGGCCTTAGGAATGACAGAAAGAGCTGCACCTCTGGCACCACTGGATCCGGAAGAGGAAGAAACACAAATATTTTTACACTTCATATTAATAAAAAAAAAAAAAAAAGACTATAACTTGTGTGATCAGTTATTATTGTACTTGCGATAAAATGGCTTATTCTATATCACATGTTCAAAATGCAGCATTTAACTTCACCGCTTACTTACGCATTAAAGTGGAGCTGAGCTAATTTGAAGAGCTGCTGTCCCAGTTCAATGCTGTCTTCTCCATACTGGAAGCCTGTAGCTACGACACTTTGTTCCAGATGGTCGGCTGCGTTTTTCCAGTCACCTGCAGAAACAATGAAAGAATGAAGCAGTAAGAGGACGGCCAACAACTACAAAAAATGAGAGAAAAGTCCTTTAAATACAAGTGCATGTAAAAAAAAAAATTATATTGTGAAAGAGTTTAATTTTTCTGCCAATTTCAGAAAGTGAAACATTTATTACATAGATTAATTTACACATAGAGTGAAATATCCCAAGCTTTAATTATTTGTAATTTTGATGATTATGGCTTACAATCAATGCAAAACCAAAAATTCAGTGAAAATTTAAATATTCCATAGCCAGCTTTTGGTACCTTGACAGTGTGGGCACTGGGCAGGAGCCATCTCTGACTTTGTGTAGGCTGGTCATAAACCTAAAAGAGGGATGGGGCCTACCTATTATAGCACATTATATAACATCAAGGCTAGATATAATTATTTCAGTGGGTAATATCACTTGTAAATAACCCCGATCTAACAGGAGGGGGCACTGGAACCAGTTTTAAAAAATGGGAGGAATCAGGAATTCATTGTGTTCTTGATCATTCGGATAAAAGAAATTTTAAATTATTTGAAACCCTAAAAATACAATACAATTGATCTAAAAATGATTTTTAATAATATTTCCAGGTTAGACATTATGCACACTCTAAAATGAATGTCCTCAGTCTTCCAGGTGACTTCAATTTACTCATAAAGACATTTGGACAGACTCCGTCTCTGTTTTAATCAACCCTTACAGCATCTCAGTGAGGACAAGTCATCACTCTTAAGAACCTCTTGGGCATCACTCTTGAAAACAACAATAGACCCCGAAGCACAAACCACGGGATGATGTTGTACTATTGTCTTCTAAGATATCAATATATAACCGATACAAGAATGCAATATAATGTCTTACATAAAGCTTATACTGCATATCTCCATATATGAACAACAAAGACACAACGGGACGCCTCCAAACTGTTCAAAGTGTAAAAAACTCAAAGGAACCACACGACTGCCTCTGGGAATATGAAAAGATGCAGCAGTTTTGGCAGGCAGTGCGTACAGTACAGAGGTCAGTGGAGTTATTGGACAGCAGCTAAAGCTGGATGCATTAATGTGTCCGTTGGACCCGATGCATTAAAAGGACACAAGGACATAATACATTTTATTTTCATGGGGGTGAGGAAGGCAATAATGACAAAATGGGTGGGCGATGAGCCCCCATCACTTCAATTATGGAATGGAACTATATCACCTCAGATAATATCACTTTGGAGAGTGTGAGGTTTTGTGTCAATGGACAATATCATCTGTTTAAAGCAAAGATCGATGTAATGCTGAAATGCCCGAACATAATAAATGATCCAGAAACTGGTGTTGTATAAGGACTTTTACTGTTGTCGCTGTCTGTTATATTATTATATTATGTTATACTGAATCTATACTCTTACAATGTTTGTACATGCTGGACTGTTGTATGTTTAAAATGTTCAATAAAAATCATGCAACCCCCCCCCAACATTTATTATTTATGAACCTTTATTTAAGCAGGCAAATCCCATTGAGATCACAGACCTCCTGCAAGAGAGGCCTGAAGGCAACCTAACATGCCTGTTTTTAGACTAGGGGTGTCAAACAAAAGGGGGCCAAAATTAAAACCTTTTTTTAAACTAAGGGTCAATTTCAGAATCTATAAAAACTCAAGTTAGATACCCAACATATTTTCATGGTTGCAGTTCCTCAGCAAGAGTTTGGTCTAATTTGATGTTCTCTGTTGCACTTTTGACATCATAATCAATGACTACTGAAAAAATTAAAGTGATAAAAGTATTTTACATTTAACATATCCGCTTGGGGGCCAGATAAGATGTCAGTGAGGGCCACATTTGGCACCCAGGCCTTGAGTTTGACACATATGTTTTAGACTGTGGGAGATGATGGTTTGGACTTGATTTGCAGCCAAAGAACTTGAGAACCTTGCTGTTGTTGAGACAGACATAAACTCCAACAGCTAAAGCTCTGAATAAAACTGGGTCAGGACAAAGATCCCAAACACAGCAGCAAATCTGCAACAGAATGTCTGGAAAAAAATAATAATAATCAAGGTTTGTAAGATAAGATAGAATGGTCCAGTCCTCCAGATACATATTCTAAATTAAGTTTTATTGGCATTTTACACCCTGATAGCTCATGTCCACTGTTGCCGGATGTCAAAACGACTTCAGAGCAGTTAAAACAGAAGTTCATATGAACCGTTTAGACTACATGCAAACCAACAAACCACAAGTAATGATAATGTAGACCACAATGCATGGCAAAAAAACTACTTGTCTGAAGATGTAAAAAAAAAGAAAAAGATGCTTGCAGCAAAAAGCCTGTTTTTTTTTTAGTCAAGTATAAAAAGTTACTAAACACATATTCAATCCACATGAACACGTCACAGAAGAATGGAGGCACAGAGTATCGATGACTTTACCATTTCTTTATACAAAAAAAAAAAAAAGACGACTTGAGTACAGGCAGCTTGCCATTACAATCAGTGGACAAGTGCAGATAGGGGATTTATGATGAAATGTGTTTAATATACATTTTATTTATTTTAATAATTTTTTCGTTTACTCTTAACACACCTAATTTAGGATTAGTAGCACAATACTATAGTGGATTGAAATGTTGCCCACAAATGATATTGTTTTACTTTAACGCATCATCTCTCTGATACCGATAACCACTAGACTGTGGGCAAGACAGAAATCATCCTGAAGACTGGAGCTCTTTAAAAGGTGAGCAAGTCTTCTGGTGGTTGAAGTGCAACAGGAGGCGTCACACCAGTACGCTGTAGTGAAGCTGCAGCCTGGGGTGTCAGGAATACTTGCATACTGTAGCTCCTCAGCACTCTAAGATGAAAATTAATTCAACCTTTTGTGCTGGAGACAGGTTCAAAGTCTTCCTGATGTAATTATGAATTTTATTTTCTTGTGACAGTTACAATGTTTTGTAGGTAAAATGAATTTTGATTTGTGGTAAAAAACATTATGAAATGTTTCTTGTAGTGCTGTATAAAACAGTAAATAATGTGGTGCAATAGTGCAATAAATAGCCCCCAGTGCAGAGTTCTCAAATGAGATTATCTAATTTTATTGAATTCAGCTTAAAAATGACAAAGAATAAAATGCCAGTTTTGTTAATATTACTTGAGAAATAGTTGTGGCAATTTTAGAAGAATAAAAAGATGCAAGTTTTCCCAATGCCCAAATCAGATCTTCCCAATTCCGGGGCTTCCATAAACAGTTTTGGGTCAAAAGATTGTCATGAAAGATGCTCAGAACATACAAAAAAGTAAAATTCCTACTTTCCTTTTAAGGAATCTTATATGTCTGATGCATGACTTTTGGTTGCTGGACTCAGAGCCAAATGAATGAACTCACCTGTCCCAGTGAGAGGGAACTGTAACATTTCCAACTTGTTTATCATTAAACAAAAGTTTAACCATTTACAGTTTCACATTAATTCTTTCATCTATTACTTACAGCTTGGGGTTAAGAAGCAAAAAATGCCAGTGATGAACATTCAAACATTTTATTAGCAAATTAAAAAGAAACACAATACCAAATATATGAAAACTTCATGGTAATCGTCCTGATGCATGCTCAGTAACCCAGGTAGATAAATCCAACAAGGTCAACCTTGTTAAGATTTAGTCAGATCTAGGTCTAGATTCAGATTTTAATCTAGTCAGGTCATTTGGACATTTTTTTTTTACCTTTCGGGTTTTTTTTAGTTTTTTTTACCATAAAGACTTCTTCAGTCTGAGAAAACTGAGCTTGCTTGCAGCTTCAGACTGAAGTAACGGTAGTATTTTGAATAAAAGACGTAACGTTTCAACAAAGAAGAATCTGCCCAGAGGACATGACTCAACCTTGCACAAAACAACAAACATGTTAAGAAGAGTTTAAAACAAATAGCTCAAAACTGGTGCTTGACTTCATTAGATCTGTATATAATAAGCTTTGCATGGAAATTAAACTTTACTGAGCAGCGATGTCATAAAGGCCTTAAAAACCCCATTGGGCTGACTTCAGTTGGGCCAGTGTCTCCTCATGCTGCTGTGGGCTACCTTCCTCAGACTGCTGAAGGAACTCCATCACCTCGTCATCCACCCTCCTCTGTGCACAGGTGTTGGATGTTTGTTGTGAATGCAGATGGCGTCTATCTCTCGTCTGGGTCCATCGTTGGGCTGGATGCTGTGCCTGAAGGTGCTGTGTGAAAGGCTGCTCGCTGCATCCACATCGTAATCGCACTCATCTTAACAGAAAATCAATAGGCTAACTTTAATTAATTTATCAACTTTAATGCTTTTGTTGTGACTACTATTATTATTGTTACTGCTACTAGCTTACTGGCTGTGATGTGCAACTCGCTGGGTTCTACTAGTTGTCCTTCTGCTGACAGAGCATCAGGTGATGGGGCCCTCAGCCCTCTGATACAAAGGACCAGGGACAGGGGAAGTTTTCAGTGGGTCCACAAAAATGTTCATGTCCATGATGAATCGACGTAGACTAAACAAAATAAAAAAAATAAAAAGCACACAAGGTTATCACACAATCACAGACAGCACTGTGACAGTCTCTCAACAATCAGACAGTGTACAGGTTCTACACACAAAAATCACTGGTCTTAAGACCAGTTTGGAAGTAGTTTAACATCATTTAAGGTTATTTTGAACGAAAATGTTCATCATGCAGTTCTGGCAGAGCTTTCAAAATTCAGTCAACGAGGACTTAAACCCCAAACGTGAGACACAGAACACTGTTAAAGGTCTCGTTTTAATGCAAACCGTTTATCTTTCTTTTAAAGCAGTTTTCTGTGACCACCTTATATTGTGACTGTAGGGGGCGCTGTTGCATTTTTACATCATACTTTGCAATAACTGATAAACGCTATTATATTCGGTGACCGTCTATATTTCTATAATAGTCATGATTTTAGTGGGCAGATGTTAATTTTTATTCTTTGGAGGAAGGAGAAAGTCAGCCTCCTTCCTCCAAAGAATAAAAAGTAAAATCTGATCACAAATATCATGACTATTGTGGAAATATCGCGGTCACAGAATATGATAGCGTTTATCAGGTATTGTGACCACAATGTAACTTATAGAAAAATATTAAATACTTGAGCCAAACTGTTTCTGCTGACTCTCTACTTCCTCTAAGGAAGAAAAAGTAACATCTGACCACTAATATCATGAGTATTATGAAAATATAAACGGTCAAAGAATATGGTGCACTAGTAACAATGACAACAACAGAGTTATATTGATCAACGTTTGACAAGTCATCCAATAAACACTAAAAAGCACTGCGCGTACGACTGACTAAATGTGAAATAAATAGTACAGAACTGATATTAACAATAAAAGTAACAAAGTTGCACCCACCACTGATGAGAGTAGCCGCCATCTTGGATTCTGAAGTCCGATATATTCGTGTTGTTCCGATTTTCCGACTCGGAATTTCGAGGATTCAAACACTTCCTGGTTCATCTTCAGCTCAGCAGGTTAAACGAACGTGTAGTCTACTCTGCACTAACACGACCAGCGCTGAAACCAGTTTCATTAACGAGGTAAAAACCCTCCGTGGATTCGGAAATGTTGCTTTTTTGTATTTTACAGTAGATTGCGCATGCCCAATGGCGCATGCGCAAATATAATGGCGCATGCGCAATTACAGGCCAGCCGTACTTTCCCGGAAGAAAACTCACGAGTTGACAGTTCAAGTTAAAATGGCGCAGAAAGGAGTTCAGCTTGGACAGAAACGCTGCTTTTGTTCAATCTGTCTGAATCTACCGAGGGAGCCCGTCACCATCTCCTGCGGACACAGCTACTGCACGAACTGTATTAAGAGCTTCTGGGATAAAGAAGACCAGAAAGGGATACACAGCTGCCCCCAGTGCAGGGAAACTTTTTTGAGTCCTGTCCTGGAAAAAAGCACCACATTAGCAGTTTTAACTGATCAGCTGAAGACAGCTGCTCTTGCTGATCACTGCTACGCTGGAGCTGAAGATGTAGCCTGTGATGTCTGCACTGGAAGAAAACTGAAAGCTGTCAAGTCCTGTTTATTCTGTCTGACCTCTTACTGTGAGAATCACCTTCAGCCTCATTATGATTCAGCTCCATTTAGGAAACACAAGCTGGTGGAGCCCTCCAAGAACGCCCAGAACAACATCTGCTCTCGTCACAACGAGGTGACTAAGATGTTCTGTCATACTGATCAGAAGAGTATCTGTTCTCGCTGCTCTGTGGATGAACATAAAAGCCATAAAGTGGTCTCAGCTGCAGCAGAGAGGACGGAGAGGCAGAGAGAGCTCGAGGTGAGGCGAGAAACGATCCAGCAGGAGATCCAGGACCGAGAGAAAGATGTGGAGCTGCTTCAACAGGAGGTGGAGGCCATCAATCAGTCTGCTGATAAAACGGTGGAGGACGGTGAGGAGATCTTCACTCAGCTGATCCGTCTCATCCAGAAAAGAAGCTCTGACGTGAAGCAGCAGATCAGAGCCCAGCAGGAAACTGAAGTGAGGCGAGTCAAAGAGGTTCAGGAGAAGCTGGAGCAGGAGATCACCGAGCTGAAGAGGGAGGATGCCGAGCTGAAGCAGCTCTCATACACAGAGGATCACAACCAGTTTCTCCACAACTGCTCCTCAGTGTCAGCACTCGGTGAGTCTCCACACTCATCCAGCATCAACATCCGTCCTCTGAGATACTTTGAGGACGTGACAGCAGCCGTGTTGGAGCTCAGGGACAAATTGCAGAATATGTTGAGAGACAGCTGGACAAACATCTCATCGACGGCCACGGATTTGAATATTTTACTGTCACAACAAGAGCCAAAGAGCAGAGCTGACTTTTTAAAATATGCATGCGAGATCACGCTGGATCCAAACACGGCACATACAAAGCTGCTGCTGTCAGAGGGGAACAGGAAAGTGTCATTTACTAAACAACCTCAGCTCTATTCTAGTCATCCAGACAGATTCACTGAGTGGAATCAGGTTCTGAGTAAAGAGAGTCTGACAGGGCGCTGCTACTGGGAGGTGGAGTGCAGCAGGAGGGTTTACATTGCAGTCACATACAGGAGTATCAGCAGAGCAGGGGGTGGAAATGACTGTGGATTTGGACGCAATAACAAATCTTGGGCGTTGTATTACTTCAAATATGGTTGTGACTTTTTGCACAACAACGTGTCTACCTCCATCTCAGGCCTCAAGTCCTCCAGAGTGGGAGTGTACCTGGATCACAGTGCAGGAATTCTGTCTTTCTACAGCATCTGTGATGCGATGACTCTCCTCCACAGAGTCCAGACCACGTTCACTCGGCCGCTTTACACTGGACTTCGGATTTACGGCGCCGAAAACACGGCTAAGTTCTGTAAACTCGTGGAGACAGAATTCACTGAAGGTTAAACCAGTAGTTCTCAAACTGGGGGTCAGCGAGTCGGTGCTTCGGGGTCCATAAAAAATGAAATTTGTTTGTTGTGTACAAGCATGTAGATGTTTACCAACCTGTTAAAATACACCAAAATGCAGGAAATTGCATCTGACTGCTGGTATTCAAAATTTTCTGGGGGAGACACCCCCTTCCCCCCGCCTCCGCTATTTGCGCTCCAGCATCATTTGATTTACAAATGAAGCCTGTTACTATGACGACTGCTGTTATGATTTTGTTCACTTTTATGTAATAATTTGAAGAAGTGGCGATCCATTTATCATGTTAATTAAGTGAGCAGGTACAGTTTTAAAGTGGTTTTTGATGCTGTTAATTTTCTCAAAACTAATTTTTGGAAGTTGAAATTAAAAATGTGTTAATTAAGTGTGTCTTGAATGAAAAATAACCCATGTTTAAAAATATAAAAATCGTATTAACACTATTAAAGAACAGGTCTTAAGTATTTATGTTACACAAATATTTCCATTGAATTAAAGAGACAAATTGAAGAAAATTATTTAATAAACATGAGGGTTATGAGGGGGTCCCTGGAAGTTTTTCTCCCCTGTAAGGGGTCCCTGAACCCAAAAAGTTTGAGAACCCCATGGACTTGATGTGATGCCACGTACTGTTTTATTGTTTTTATGAAGATATTTCTCAATAAAGCTGTTAGGCTGGTTTAAAATTTAGCTTTGTTAGTGAGTTGTAACGTTGAAATAAAAACATAAACCTTTTCTTCATTTTCCTGTTTGGTCATTAAGTATGCACAGGCATGTCTGATTGCCAATATTTCTTTCCACCCAAAAGTGACTAGTTTAAAATAGGTTCACCAATCAATGAGTTTATCTCTACTATTAATTGACAGCTTGTCAAAAAATTTAAATCTTTCCCTTCTGTTATTAGCGTTCAAAGCTCACAGAAAATAAATCGTAGTTGTGGAATTTATTGTTTAGTATTTTTTGAAAACGGTTCAAATAAATGAGATTACTGCTGATTTGTTTTTCTCCCTGGAGCTATTTCTCCATAATGAGGAACAATGAAAAGATTTTATTCAGGTATTCTGTATAAAATTGAGAAGTGCGTTGCCACAAAAGATGGACATGAACATTTCAAGTATACCAGGTTATCGGTATGTTATCAATAATCACTGATGGGTTTCCAGAAAAAAAAAATTTGACAAACTAATTCTTGCCATGCTCTCTTGATGTCTTTAGTCGTCCAGCTCCTCATCTCACCTGTTTGAACTCCAGCCTTCAGTGTATATACAGTACTCCTGGTTTTTCTCAGTTTCTTCTCAGAGCCTTGGTTGTCCACGTGCGTTTCGTTGTTACTTCTTGTTTGCTTTGGTCAAGTTATTAAACTTTTGTTTGTTCCTGCTTTTGCTTACAACCCACCATTCATGATGGCAGAAAACAACCAAACAGTGTCTTCTTTAGCTTCTCATCATCCATCGCTGCTATTCTGTCCAAGGACTGACCTGACATGGACTTAGCAAACTACACAGTTTAAAAAGCAACGTCTTTGGGTCTACAAACTATGGATAAAGGCTATTTGCATATATCATCTTCTGGTTGTTCCAAAGTCGGGGTGTGGGGGCAGAAGCTTTGGCAGGGAGACCCAGACATATCTTTCCACAGCCAGCACTTCTGGGAGGATTCCAAGGTGTTCCCAGGCCAACCGAGAGACATAGTCTCTCCAGCGTGAAATATAGTTTTATCAGATAATATATTAACTCAATGAAATGTCTAGATATATGTATCCCATTTTGATATTTAGAATGATATTGTGTTAAAAACATGATCTGATTCCGTTTCCGGTAGAAAATGTAGTTTCAGCTACATGCCTACAACTCCCAACACCCACCCATTATAGAACACAAGATGGCTAGATATTATTGGTTGAGAACTGGGTCACATGATAGAGTAGGAATTCCCATTCGTCGATGTTGGTGACGACTCCAAGAGGTGTGGCCGAGCTCTGAAGAAGATGGATTGTCTGTTTACGTTCGGGGCCATTTGTTCGTGACCGCATGGTTGAGTTGCAATGACCCAGGGCTGGTGATTTTGTACTTTACAGGTAAAATAAACCTTCTAAAATGGAAGACAATTGCTCCTCCTCTCCTTTCTTCAGAACAGAGAACATTCTTTCAAGCATGTCCTGGGTCTTCCCTGGGGTCTCTTCCCAGTCAGACATGCCCAAACCACTTCAACTGGCTCCTCTCGATGTGGAGGAGCAGCGGTTCTACTCAGAGTCTCTCCTGGATAACTGAACTTCTCACCCTGTCTCTAAGGGAGAGTTCAGCTACCCTGTGGAGGAAACTCATTTCAACTTCCTGTATCCACGATCTCATTCTTTCGGTCACTACCCAGAGTTCATGACCATAGATGAGGGTAGGAATGTAGACCGACCGGTAAACAGAGCTTTGCCTTACAGCTCAGCTCCCTCTTCACCCCACCTTTAAATATTCAAAACCTGACAACAGTTTTTTCTGACCATGACAAAAAGTTTGAACATTATTAGAATTCTTATTGAGGACCCTCTGTCTCAGCATCAGCCTGACTCCTGCACCGCACCTCATTATCTGAGCTGCTCTCAAGCTCCAGCTGCACTACAGTACTACCTGCCCAGGACTCCGATTTTTTTTTTTTTCTTTGCTTGTTTTACTGATAAAAAGAGTGTTGCAACAATATTTTGTGAACTTCACTTATTTACAAAAATCAAGCTTAATCTTTTACTTGACACCATTAATGAAAATGGAAATCCTTAAAAACATTTTTTTATATAAAATACGTAGGGATGAATATTATTGGATTTTTGGCCGATATGCTAAAACTTATATGGCCGATAACCGATACCAATATTTTTTTCCCTAGATCTACTTACAGAGACTACATTCGTTCAACCTTTATTTAGACAGGTAAATCCCATTGAGCCTCGAGGACTCATTTACAAGAGAGACCTGATTTCAACAAAGAATGATGACAGTTTTCTCTGCTGTGGAATTAAAATACTACATTATTGTGCATGGTCTTTGTCAGTTTGGCCTGATACCAAATGCAGATGCAAAAAAGGGGGCTGAAAATGATGTAACACTATACAGTGCCTTTTATATCGGTGAGTTATTTTGATGGAACGGCCGACGTCTGATATTTAACTTTATCACTAATATTGGCCGATAGCATGGCGATAATATTGTGCATCCCTGATATAAATTTGAAATTTGTAGAAAATCTTGCTTAAATACAAGTGGAACGCAAACATACTCACTTTTATTACAACAAGAACCTAAACAGATGGTTCCACCTTCTGAAAATGAATGAACTTCTAAGTTTGCTCACCCATAGAAGCAAACGCTCTGGCTGTGGCATCAGCCAGCTCTCCATGCAGCGGGTGTGTCTCTCCAAGGATCAGTCCAGACTGTCTCTTTATCTGCTTCAACAGTCGTACAGCCTCGTCTGGTTTTAGTAGGAGCAGAAAAGTAACACAAGATTCATAACAATATTCTTGTGCTGCATTAGTAATCTGGATGCAGTTTGTAATCACCTGGCATTTCTGTCTCCATGAGCTCTACCGCCCTCTTCAGAGCAGCCCTGACCTCCTGCAGCTTGTGGCTCACTTCTGCTGAAGACATGCGATGACCACAGGTTGGCAGCATACATCTAAAATCACCTTCACAGATTTTCTGGAAAAATCAGATAAAATGTATCAAATGATTTGCACATCTCAACAGCAGGAAGGAAAATTAAGTAAGCAATATGCTGATGGCGGCACTGAGGGATTTGGATTGAAACTATCTGTTTAGTTTTCAAGATGAGGGTTTTCTGGAACTGGGAATGCAAGTGAACCTTAATGGTTTGGGTGTAAAATGTTCAAGTGGGTAGGAGTTACACTGCATATAAGAATTGAGGTAAGTGTTTTTTTTCTGTCCTATGCAGCACAGTGACAAATCCTGGAGAGAACAATTTTATCCACAACCAGGTGCAATGGCGGAGCCAGGTGGTGGCCACTATAGATTAATCTTCAGCCACCCCCAATCAATTCAGGAAACTATACTTTGAAGCATTATAGAAACTAGAAAGCATGGTTTCTCAAATGATTGGGATGGCTGGTGTGTTTATTTATATATATATTTAGTGGCAACCATTTTGGATTTTGACGTGGCAACCCATTTTCCCAGAGGAAATTTGCTTACGCATTAGGGATTGAATAGACTAGTCGACTCTAAGACATCTTGTGAGTTTTCAAATTTTACATCGACTAGTCTGCCAGTGACTGTGGCATGTGTCACGTGATCAGCGCCGGCCGCTGGATACAAAACGGATTCTTCCAAGCAGATGGAAAACGAGGAGCAGGCAAAGTCTTCCCAAACTGGTAGAAATTCCTCAACAGTGTGGAAGTATTTCACTAAAAATTATGTTATTTTTAGTTTTATTTTATTTAATCTATGGTGGGATCCCACCTCCACCCACCTCCTGTTTTTAGTTTAATTTTATTTAATCCACTAAATAACATAAAAACAGGGGTGCGCTCCACCGGAGAATCCACCACTGCGCACCACCGCCGGTGTGCACCATGCACCACCACCAGAGGAGAATTCACCACCGCCACCACCTGTGGTGGTTTATTTTATTTAGTGGATTAAATAAAATAAAACTAACTTTTGCAGCTTAATAATAGTTTTAGTTTTCCTGTTATTTATTTGCAGTATGATAAATGGTAGGAGCATAAATATATACTCCCGATGTTTTGTTCTTTTTTTTTTGGTAAATATCGACGTTTTTTTGCTATTTTTTTTAGCGTCGAGCTCCTATGACATCATCAACTAGTCGACATCAACTCAACTATTATCATGTTAACGTTGACTTTAAAATATATGTCGTCGTTCAACCCCTATTATGCATAGATGTAGCCGTATTTCCAGTTCCCCTTTTTGCTCCGTGATGTGGGACAATAAATCTACTGAATTAGACTGATAACACACCTTGAGAGCTTCTTTGCACTTTAAACACAACAATCCAGACTCATTCCTGCTGCCTCTGGCACCGTCCTGCTGCTGCCGGCCCTCCTGCACGCTGCAGGCCTCACACTGACACAGGAAGTAGTACTGTTCCTGCAGAAGGCGCTGGCGCTCGCTGGTCACCATCCTACTGCTGTGAGGACCTGAGAAAAAGATGCCCTTTATAGAAGTAGCTACGGTCAAGTGGTTTTTGGCACAGAAATATGCATCAATATTTAGATGGATACACAGAGGAAAAACAATATTGAACACTGTTTTATCCAGAGTAGTAACTTTGTTATGAACAAGATAATGTTTGAACAAATGAAAGTTTGAGTTTGTGTTAAAGTAACAAATAAGATCTACTCATAGAACTGAGTACATTAAACTGTGATATATTGAAATTATTGCTCGCATGGCAGAAAACTGTTGTGTTCTTTCATGGGTACAGATTATAATTTGCCCCCAAATTTGCATCACAAATACCTCGTTTCATATCTCACCATAGCAGTGTAGGATCTCCTGCCCAGGATTAATAGCTCTCGCTGCTCTGACCGTCACGGTGACTTCACAAGCCTCGTGTTTATCCTCACAAAGACCATCACTGATGTCTGCAGATTTATGTGAACCACAGGTATCAGCAGCAGTTCCGGTGCTGAACACCAGGCTGGTATTAGGACAGCAGGAGTGATTGAGAAGGCTTAGAGCTGGAAACATTGCTGTGGCAAGACGGACCTCCTGCTGGGACTGCACTCTGGCGTTTTCTGCTCCTGTTGAGATGAAAAAAATAAAATACCTATTTTTTTCTCTTCATCAGATTCATACCCGAGGTTGCAATTTGTAAAAACGATTAGGCCTGTCACAATAATAAATTTTGCTGGGCGATTAATTGTCTCAGAAATTATTGCGATAAACGATAATATTGTTTGAAATTTGACAATATTACTAATTGTCATATTGAAGAAGAAATTTTGCTTAATTTTTGTATGTAGTGCCTTTTTCTATTCTAATCCGTTCTAATTCTTCAAAAAATGAAGAACATTATAGACAACCCTCAGCATCCTCTTCATCACTGTCATACAACAACAGAGTGTTTTCAGTCAGAGGCTTCTTTCGATCCGCTGTAGGACAGACCGCTACAAGAGATCCTTCCTGCCCACAGCCATCAGCATCTATAACAACTCTTTAATGAAACTAGGATGATGAGTTACAACAACATTTAATTTCCATCTGGGATTAATAAAATATTTTTGAATTGAATATGATTATTTGACCACTGGATGGCAGTATAAAACCGTTTGAACCGAAGGATGGATAGTGAGGGAGCGAGCAGCGTGTCTCTTTAAGAAAAATGGGAGGGAGGCCCCTTGACGTGACACGGGCCATGAATTTTGGAGCTTCGACAAGACAGAGATTTTTTCCCGAGGTCGGCCTGTTAGCTTAGCTCGTAGCTTAGCTTCTCTGCTTAGCTGCATTTAACCATCCAAAAATCTGATTTTGGATGGTTAACACAGATTTTAAAGAGAAAAGAGAAAGGGAGGGGTCAGTGAAGAACACCAGAGGTTGAGTTTTTTCATCCAGTGTCTTCAGTAGAAAAAGAGAGACATGAAGAAATGATAAAGCCGATAAATGAAAATGAGGTTGATATCCATTTATCATGAGATTAATTGATTTATTGTTTATTGCGACAGGCCTAAAAATGGTTACCAATTATATTGTGAAAATGGTAATATTTGTGCTTCAAACTGAAATTTTGTTACTGCTTTTGTGATGGACACATCTGTATGAGTCACCTGTATCTTGCAGCGTGATGATAGCCTGAGCGTTGCATCTCAGCTGCAGCATGTGCCTCAGACTTGCGCTTCCCACCACCCAGAGCTCTGAGCTCCACTCTGCATCGCCTCCCTCCACGTTTGGTCTGTCAGGTAATGAGGATCCAGGAAGAGAAACCCCCTTGCTGAGCCTCAGGTAGAGTGTTGCTATGGTAACAGCACACAGGAAGCGCAGAGCAGCGCTTTGGTTGTTTGTGTGGTGCAGCAAGTGAAACACGGAGAGGTAAGGGTCACCTTTGGAAGGATCGATTTGATATGAGCAACGTGGAGCTGAATCCCTGCACGGCTCCAACTTCTTGTGCTCGTCCCTGATTGGCTGACGTGCTGTTTGGATGTTTTCTAACCCAGCCTTTAGTGTCACCCTCAGGGCGAGCTGGGCCATCACACCCATCACCATCAGATCTGCTCCAAGTGGACACTCCCAGCGGTGATGCTCTCCCCAGGCTGCTCGCTGACAGGCAGCTGAACAGTATCGGCTGTAGCTGCACCCCTCGCATGGCACGGGGCACAGAGTTTCAGCTAAACACCGGTGACAGCACCTGTGCTCTGTTCCAAACATCATTTCTCCTCCTCTTTTCCCTTGAACCTCCTCCATTCCTGGTATTAGGACGCAGCTGTACGGCCTTTCGGTAAGAATCGCCTCCCCAGCTGCTATCCTCTTTTGAGCTACCAGGTGTCGCCCTTTGTCCAAACTGTAGACGACAGAAACTCCGGGACAAATACCACATCTGAGAGCTCCAACAACATGAGAACTTCTACTACTCTTCGAGGAACAACGCTGATCAGCTTTTCCTGTCTTTTCACGTCCAGCAAGATAACTCAGACACAGAGTGCGACGATCCTGTAGTTTTTGTGAAAGATGAGATGGATAGCCACTCTTTAAGGCTTTATCGATGTCATCAAGGCACTCCTAAGGAAAACAGAACAAATGGGAGTATGAGAAGCTGTAAAATCTAGGAAGTAAAACACAAATATTAAACCTACTATATGTAGGTCTGTTGCAAACGCTTCAATAGTTTCAGCATAAATCTATTCAGAATCAGTGTGTCTACATACGCTGGGAGTTCTGGATTCAAAAGTCTTATTGTGTGATATTTTTAGAGTGGAATTCAAAGCGCAGACAGAGCATGAAGGATTTTTAGTTTAGAAACAAAAGAACTGCATCTATGCTATTTGCAGATTTAGCAGGTCAGCTGGCATGTTCAGAACATGACCAACATGTCTCATGATTTTCTGCAACCACAAGTGAAATGACTTGGATAATCAATCAACCTTTATTTATACAGGTAAATCCCATTGAGCCTCGAGGACTCATTTACAAGAGAGACCTGATAAAAAATGTACTCATTCAAATCTACTTGCAGAAAAGAAATACATAAGTAAGAAAAAAAAATGCAAAACCAAAAGACTAATGCATGGGAGTCAGTGAAAACTATTTGGATAATCCAGGGAATTTGCAATTTCTCCCACGTAGAAATCATGGAGGGGTTTGAAAATTTCATTTTAGGTGCATGTCCACTGTGAGAGACAATCTAAAAAAAAAATCTGGAAATCACAATGTATGATTTTTTTAATAATGTATTTGTGTGTTACTGCTGCAAATAAGTATTTGAACACCTGTGAAAATCAATGTTAATATTTGGTACAGTAGCCTTTGATTGCAATGACAGAGGTCAAACGTTTCCTGTAGTTTTTCAGCAGGTGTGCACACACTGCAGCAGAGATTATGACTCATTCCTCCTCACAGATCTTCTCTAGATCAGCCAGGTTTCTGGGCTGTCGCTGAGAAACACGAAGTTTGAGCTCCTCCAAAGATTTTCTACAGGGTTTATGTCTGGAGTCTGGCTAGGCCACTCCAGAACCTTGATATGCTTCTTACGGAGCCACTCCTTGGTTCTCCTGGCTGTGTGCTTCGGGTCATTGTCACGACCCATCTTCAATGCTCTAACTGAGGGAAGGAGGTTGTTCCCCAAAATCTGGCAATACATGGCCCCGGTCATCCTCGCCTTAATACAGTGCAGTCTTACTGATTGTGTGGGGTGGACAGGTGTCTTTATGTAGCTAACGACCTCAAACAGGTGCTTCTAATTTAGAATAATAAGTGAAGTGGAGGTGGAGTTTTTAGAGGCGGACTAACAGGTCTTTGAGGGCCAGAACTGTTGCTGATTGACAGGTGTTCAAATACTTATTTGCAGCAGTGACACACAAATAAATTATTTAAAAATCATACATTGTGATTTCCGGATTTTATTTTATTTTTTTAGATTATGTCTCTCACAATGGACATGCACCTAAGATGAAATTTTCAAACCCCTCCATGATTTCTAAGTGGGAGAACTTGCAAAGTTGCAGGGTGTTCAAATACGTATTTTCCTCACTGCATGTAAAACTATATACAGTAGTCCTCACTTAGCACAGGGGTTACGTTCCAGACAACCCCGCGATGGGTGAAAATCCACGAAGTAGGGATGTTATATTTATTTTAGTATTTATATACATCCCTATATATATATATATCACCCTTCTTGATATAACGAGCGTTGCACTGCGTAAGAGCTTGAGACGGCATGCGGCAGGGTTCTATAGCTCTGGTTGGTCGCCTTCCATCAATTAGCCCATCGTGTGTCATGTATAATCTTGCGTTGAAAACCCACAAAACGGTGAGTCCATGAAAGTCGAAACGCAAAGTATCGAGGGACTACTGGACTTCTATACAACAACTGTTTTATATGACTAAGTGGAAACAGATATTGGGAAACCTAGAAGTGGAGCCGCACACGATCAGGTTTGAAGGTTTGTCGTCTCACCTGGAACAGCTGCAGATGGAAGAGAGCAGCAGAGCGGTTGGAATAGCACAGAGACAGCTGATCTGAAGTGTCCGGGGCAAAACATATCCCCTGTATGAGGACAAGAGAGGTAAACTTGAGGTGTGAGGGATTGGTCATGTGACTTACATTGTTTGATGTTCACCTGTGAATAGTGCAGAGCTGCTGCTTTGTAGTCTGTGGCCTTGAAGCTGGAGTTGCCCTTCTCCCTGCAGCTGGCTGCTTCCTCTCTGCCCTTCTTCACTGAATGTCCTGCAGACGCTGACTGCAACCATTCCACATCATGTGGGCTGAAAAACAGAGAGACCTACTAAACTTTGGGATGACTTCCGCCTTGAAGAAAAAACTTCCACTTAGCATGAAACTGTGGTTTAACAAAACGTTACAAACTAATTAATCTTGTTCCAACACAAAGTTGATGCAATTCAAATATCTCGTCTTACAAAGACGTTTACTCCTGTGAGTAAATAAACTGACAGTTTCATTCATTCCTGGTCCAAATGTTTCTAATCAATACATGACACTGTAACAGATGAGCTATATTACTTTGTCAGACTTAAAGCACATTTAAAAACGTCATCAATTTCAAGCAGTGAGGTGAATTTCTTCTTTAGCTCAGGATCGAGTTCTTCCCATTTCTGTGCAACGTGATTTTGCCACCGCATGCACGGAAGATCCATAACGCTGAACCACTGCTCTTCAACCCTGAAGCTTTCTTGGGACAGTTTTTCGTGGCAGAATGCAGCAGCCATTGAATTACCGCTATTAGGCCGTTTCCGGGAAACATTTCAAAATAAAACATACAATCGCCCCTGCATTTTAAATGTTGCCAAAGGCTTACATGATGTCGCTCTTTCAAATACTGTATGAAAAACGTTTCAGCACAAAAAAAAAAAAAAAAGAAACTGTCCAGATGACCTGACTGAAAAATGTTGGATTTTATACCTGGATTATTGAGCATGGACTTTGTTGTTTTCAACCAGTTTGACAAGACTGTCAACAAGGAAGAGGGCCGGTGTCAACAGTTATACAACTGACTTATGGACTTACATGTCTGCGTTTATGCATGTTATTAAATAAATGAACGTTTTATTATGTCGATCTTTCATGCGGGCGCCCCCTCTGGTGGGGAACAGATTATTTCGGGGATACTAAATGTGGCACGACACCTGGATTATTGAGCATGGACTTTGTTGTATGAAAATACACAAATGTATTGGTTTTGGTGGTTAAAAAGTAGTGATGTCAAAAAAAAAGTTAAACTGTTGTGAAGTCTTCACTCTGACAAAAACACCTAAATGTTTTGTTGTTAGGAAAGTAAACTTTATCTATTTTCATATTTACCTGCACTTTAGGGTAACTTTTAATATATTTCCTGATTTGTATCGTGATGCTTTTCAGTTAAAACAAACAATGGAAAAAAAGAATTGTAAAACCAATTACCTAACAGTTCAGTTAGTGAAAATCTAGAAAACTTTGTATGTGAGTAATACATTATGGATTGTTTTGGCATTTATGAATTTGGTATTTAAAAATCTGCAACAAACGATTTGAATGCGCCCCCCCCCACACACACACACACACACAAAAAAAAGTAGGAAGTTTAAAAAAGTTATTTCTTTCTGATTTTGTCAGCTTGAAATCAGAAGTGCTCTGCTTGTCTCTGAATCGTTGAGGAATAGTTAATACTAGTTTATAATCCTCAATAAAGTCATTCTGCCTTCTTCTAATACAGTATTTTAATTTCAATCTCCCCAGTTGCGTCAACAAACTGACTCTTTTATTTTGAAGTTGTACATGTTTTGTTTCCGGTCTTTTTCCTCTTTCGGACAAGTATCGCTCTCGTCACATTTCTCGCGAGACTTACCTTTCAGTCCATTTAACTCCTGTTACTCAACAAAAGCGGCTGAAGTTTGCGTGTTTGGAAATATGCCTCCTGTGCTGACACAAGGGGCGGTTGAAGTAAGTTTTAAAACGATTCAGACAGAACTTTTAAATTGACAAAGTGTTTCGATGCTACTATTAGCGATGTAGCGCTGTTTACAAGGAACCGTTAGCTGCATGAGCTAATGTTGTTGCAGCTGCAGCACCAGTCATTGCGTCTCTTGATTATTTGTTTACTAAAAAAGAACAGCTTAAAATAAATTACGCCTAATTATTGTTTACGTAACTTTAGCGAATCTAAGCATTAGCATTATATTCATGTGAATGGTATAGGATAATGAAGCCAGGCTCTATCATTTTGGGTTCTGTAGCTTGCGATAAGGCACTAACAAGTCCACGCGTTCTTGTTTTCCAGGCCCTGTTCAAAGGCTCACACATAAACAATTCTGTTTTGCAGCTTCTGGTAAGTGAATCTTGAGTGAACTGTTTTTTTTATTTTTTACAAAAGAGGTTTAGTTATCTGACATAGCACAATGTGTGTTTTCATGTTGATATTGATGCTCATTATTGATATTGATATACAAGCAGTGGTATACAAGCAATCCAATGATATTGAACAACAATAATATATTAAATGTGAGCTATGAAACCAGTTGTTTTTGTAAAACTTGAAATCTTGGAAGGAAATATCAACAAATATTCTTAAAATCTTTATTGATTTTATGTTGCAGTATCCTGATGCATGCTCAATAATCCAGGTAGAAAAATCTAAAAAAGTTAAGTCTGGTCTTCTGGATGGGTTCAACCAAAAAAAAAAAAAGATACGTTTCGTCTTACATCCAAAAGACTTCTTCAGTCTGAGGAGCTGTGTTCAGCTCAGTCTTATAAATAGCACCTTCTCATAGTGGATCATTCACTTGACCTAGGACATATGTGTCAAACTCGAGGCCCAGGGACCAAATGTGGCCCTCCTTAACATCTTATCTGGTCCCCAAGATGTTATTTTAAATATAAAATACCTTTATCGCTTAAATTTTTTTCAGTAATCTTTGATTATGATGTCAAAAATGCAACAGAAAACGACTAATGAGACCAATCAAACTCTTGTTGAGGAACCTGCAACCAAGAAAAGATGTTTGGTATCTAACTTGAGTTAATGTTGATTCTGAAGCCGGCTCATTGAAAAAGGTTTTAATTTTGGCCCCCTTTTGTAAGTGGATTTGACACTTCTGAAGAAGGACCATCAGCCTAACAATGGATCGTTGGCACCCTGATGGCTGCTTGCAGGGGGCTGAGTGATACTAACAAAAACAACACTAGCTATGTTTACATGCGCAGAATTCTTTGACCGGATTGAAATGTGTTCTGTTTGAATAATTCAAATGTATTGTTTACATGGGCACAATCTGTTCATGATGAGCGTTTACATGCAGCGGGCTTTGTTCTGAACAGCAGTACTGACATGCGCAGAGAGGTAAACTCTCCTTAAAAAAAAAAACACAGAAGAAGAAGTTCTACTTCCGGGTGAACGTAAACAAACTTGAGCACCCAAAATGGACCCGCGACAGGTTTTAATGATGGTGGAGACGTTACTGCACTCCCTGACTGAGCTACAGGTAATAGAAATCATTTTGAGCTCTTTAAAAGTTTCTAGTAGAAATGTTGTGTCGCTCACCGACCAGTTTTACTTCCCTGACATGCTAATATTATTAGCGTTAGCCAGGCGGAAATGGCAAAGTCGCACATGCGCAGTCAGGTCAGTTTTTCACCATCAGATAAAAACGAACAGATGAAGCGTTTACATGTGCACCGATCGGGTTTCGGATCGGCGTAAACCACCCGTTTCGTTCTGATCACAAATTATATCGGATCGCGCCGAATACACAAAAAATAATCCGAACGGAGCGTTTACATGACACACTTTTATTCCGACCGGCCATTTGATCCAGTTACTTATGTCCATGTAAACATACCCATTGTAAGAGGGAGACAGTTGAACATGGAGGCCTCCACCCCTGTTTAATAATAGACAGTTTCTTTTCATGTCCCTGTGATGGACTTGCGACCCGTCCGGGGTGTACCCCGCCCCTTGCACAGTGATTGCTGGACATGGGCACCGGCGACCCCCGTGACCCAAAATGGAAGAAGCAGGTAAAAGAAGATGGATGGATGGAGTTTCTTTTCACAAAGATGGCCTCCTTTACTCTTCTCTCAAACCATCGTTCCTCTCTGTCAAGGATGTGAGCATCTTCATCAGAATCAGTTTATTATCGCCATGTCAATGAACGAGGTTCACAAACTAGGAATTTGCTTCGACATAAGGTGCGAATAGTAATAAAGTAAAATAAAGTAAAAATTAAGTAAAAATGAGAACATTACATAAGACATAAGCCTGTGTACACCCATAAATAAAGTAAAATTAAAAACATAACATAACCATATGTACACCCATACAATAGAAAACAATAAAAAAGCGTAGAAAACAGTACAGATGGAGTATTCAATTATAATACAGATGTAATGTGACCAAAGCAGAAATTATGAGGTAGCATTATGAGTGTTCAGGAGTCCAACAGCAGAGGGGAAGAAACTGTTCTTATGGCGGGAGGTTCTGGTCCGAATGGACCGAAGCCTCCTGCCTGAGGGGAGTGGTTCAAACAGACCTTGTGCAGGGTGAGCAGGGTCAGCTGTGATCCGACCTGCTCGCCTCACAGTCCTGGAGACGTACAGGTCGTGGAGGGATGGAAGGCTGCAGCCGATCACCTTCTCAGCTGAGCGCACAACGCGCTGCAGTCTGAGTCTGTCCCTGGCAGTGGCCCCGGCGTACCACACCGTGATGGAGGAGCTGAGGATGGACTCGATGATGGCCGTGTAGAACTGCACCATCAGCTTGGCCGGCAGCTTGGACTTCTTCAGCTGTCGCAGGAAGTACAGTCTCTGCTGGGCCTTCTTGATGAGGGAGCTGATGGTCGGCTCCCACTTGAGGTCCTGGGTGATGGTGGTGCCGAGGAACCGATAAGAATTTGCAGTGGTGATGGGGGTATCATTACAGGTGAGGGGGGGGCAGAGGGGCTGTGGCTTTCCTGAAATCCACAATCATCTCCACTGTCTTCTGGGCATTGAGTTCCAGGTTGTTGCTGCTGCACCAGGTCACCAGCTGGTCCACCTCCCGGTCCATTTATCCTTTCATCCCTGAAAGAGTGACCGCTGGCCTGGAGATGACCATAGACTGCAGTGTCTTAGCCTAATGATGTTGATCTTCTGTGTTGGGCCATCCTTTTGGCCAGTGGCTGTTTTGTTTCCCCGATGTAAGACTGATCACAGCCCTCCTGACACTGAACAGCATACACAACATTACTCTGTTTGTGCCGGGGGACTGGATCTTTGGGATGAACCAGTCTTTGCCGTAATGTATTTTGGGGTTTAAAAGCCACTGGGACGTTATGTTTAGAAAATAAACATCTCAGTTTCTCTGATACTCCCTCAACATACGGAATGACCACTGGTCTGGGTTCCTCCTTTTCACCTGACGGCTGGCTGGAGTCTGGTTGATCCACTATGAGAAGATGCTGTTTATAAGACTGAGCTGAATACAGCTCCTCAGACTGAAGAAGTCTTTTGGATGAAAGACAAAACATTTCTACAAGATTTTTGTTTTTTGAACCCGTCCAGAGGACCAGACTTGACTTTTTTAGATTTATTTTACAGTGTTATGTATGAGTCTTGAAGTTTTTAAACAGCTGTTGTTTTGAGTTTCAGACCTTTCTTTTCCCTGTTTTTCCAGGAAATCCGTCGTGTATCTAATTCCTCAAACCCACCCAGGTTCCGGATTAAGATGAGTGATGGCCAGCACTTCCTTTCCTGTACGTTTTTTGTTTTTGTCAAACTGATAACTCGTTCGTTGATGTGGTTTGTAAAAGTATTGATGCAGAATATAATTCTGTTTTGTTGCAACTTTACAGAAAATAAATGTACTGTTGTGTCCAAATGATTGATATCATACAGCTAATTACTGTAATATAAATGTATAACAGTAGTTGCACCAAAAAGTTTGCAGCTCAATTCAGTCTTGAAGTTCCAGTGTATGAAATATATCATTGGTTTTTATTTTCCGTCTTCAGCCTTTCTGCTGGCCACCCAATTGAACAGACTGGCAGAAGAGAATCTCCTTGTCCCAAACTGTCTGTGCAAGTTAAAGAGGACCACTAGTAGCACTCTGTCAGATGGCAGGTACGTGTTTCTTCCTTGTTTACTTTATTCTTCATTCATTTTTATATTTGGTTGAAGCTTTTAAAGAGTTTTTTTCTTTTCTGCCTTTTTACTTGAACTCATATTTTAGAGTCAAGTATTTTTTTTTTAGATATGTCTATTTTTTGTGTATTTATTCTAAGTGATGGCAATAGCAGTATAGCGCTGCTCAGGTGGTATAACTGTAAAGATGGTTGCCTCTTTGCGACGTGTATTCACGAGACACAAGTTACCCGAGTAGGCCTGTCACGATAACTTTTTGCTGGGTGGTTGTCTCAGAAATTATTTCGATAAACAATAATATTTTTTGAAATTTAACAATAATTTGTAATTGTCAAATTTATGAAGAAATCTTGGTTAATTTTTGTGTGTAGTACCTTTTTTGACCACTGAATGGCAGTATAAGACTGTTTTGAACTGAAGGATGGATAGTGAGGGAGCGAGCAGCATGTCTCTTTAAGAAAATGGGAGGGAGGCCCCTTGACGTGACATAGGTTGTCTCTCCTTCCTGTTTTTTGGTTCTCATAATGGCAGACGCTCGGTGTGGTTTGAGCTTTTTACCGTAGCATTTTTCACACAAAGCTTTTAATTAAAAAATTCAGTAAACAAGTTCTCATCTTCTTTTTGCAGAGAAAAACAACTTTTTAGACAAAGGCACTGGTTTCAACCGTGAATTTTGGAGCTTTGACAAGACAGAGTTTTTTTTTCCTGAGGTCAGCCTGTTAGCTTAGCTCGTAGCTTAGCTTCTCAGCTTAGCTGCTTTTAACGATCCAAAAAAATGCGATTTTGGATGGTTAAAATGTTTTTTAAAGAGAAAGGGAGGGGTCAATGAAGAGCACTGGAATTTAGCCTTTTGTCATCCAGTGTCTTCAGTAGACAGAGAGACACGAAGAAGCAATTAAGCCGATAAATGAAAATGAGGTTGATAATTTTCATTTATCATGCAATTAAATGATTTGTTTATTGCGACAGGCCTATACCCGAGACAATTAAGCTCAACATATTTGGATGTGAATATTCTACTGGTCACATCTGCCTGTGAGAGATATAAACTATCAAGCTTCCAAGTTTTTGATTATTAACTTTTATTTAACCAGGCAAGTCCCGATGAGACCACAGATCTTTCTTTTTACAAGGGAGTCCTGGACCTGAAGGCAGCCTAACATGCATGTTTTTTTTCTTACTTAATTAAGATTAAGAAATTTGTTTTTAAAAATGCATTATTATTTATATTTTTAAATCCCTTTTTGTAAATTGCCTAAAGTAACAATTGTATTTGTAGATTTAGAAACATTTTAGACCAAATGGTGAATAAAAAAGTCTGCATATCTGGTTGGAAGCGCTTAAACTTACTGTCATTTCTTTTTTGATCTACCCGGATATTCTTTCTGTCGAGGAAAACTCAACATAACAACTCAGACTTTTCAGCCTATTCACCTGTTCCTCTCATTGGTTCGGAGATACATGGAGAAAAGACAGTAATCAGTCAGAGAGATTCAAATTAAAAAGTATTACCAACATTTATTAAAGCTTTCAGCTGAAAGGAGACGCTCTTACCCCAAACCAACAGAGATGCAACAAAAACCCAAGACGCTTCTGACCGGAGCTTTCAGCTTCTTCTGTATTTAAACACAAAAGCTCCACCCAGAAATGTGTCACACATTCTTACAGTTCTTTGTCTAAACTAGTTCAAACTGATGTCTTCATTTCCTGGAAGTCCTTTTATGGAGTTGTTTTATTATTTTCTTCTGCCGTTCCAGTTTACTGGTGATCTTGTCATCAGGTGGGACACACACACCAGCAGCTCCCAGTTCATGTTCCGTACATAAAAAACTCAAATACATTCTCTGACTTAGCTCAATCTGTACTTGTTGATACCAAAAGGCAAGCAGATCTAGAAGCCAAGCAGATACAGATAAAGGACAAGATACAGTTGTGATACATCGAGCAATACAGCACAGCAGATAAGAGCGTCTTTACATTTTACTATTGAACAAGTAGCTTAATGACTATAACTATTTTAGCATAATAACTGATTGTTTTAAATAGTCTACCGGTACTTGTTTTTGTTATGTAGTTTATTATTTACTACAAGAAAATGTATTCACTTTTCATGTTTTTGTCACCATGTGTGTATATTTATTTGTGTTATGCTGGTGAAGAGTCTCAGTCAACTAGGCCATGGTAAATTCAAAAAAGTTCAAGACAAAAACAACTGGACTTTATTTGCAACATAAGACGATGCTTTCTCAATTCAAAGAACAATGAGTGTGGGCTTCAAGTTATAAAGCTGAGGTAAAATACATGCATACATATGCAGATTGACCTATCACATCTGCATATTGCCATTATGCATGTATCTTACCTCAGCTTTGTAACTTGAACCCCACACTCACTGTTCTTTGAATTGAGAAATCTTCTCAGATGAGAAGCGAAACGTCTTCTGTTACAAATGAGTCCAGTTGTTTTGTCTTGAACTTTTTTGAATATATTTGTGTTCATTGCTTTTTAACGCTTGGTGATCATGATGTTGTCATATCTCCGAACAGTCTTTAAGTACATACATTATTTATTTATTATTTAAATCACCAGAGTCAATTTGTAGTTGTTTGTTGTTTCAGGCTTGTGGTGATTATTGTGGACATGGATATCTTGCAGTCGGCAAAGGAAACTGGAGGAAAAATAGGAAATCCAGTTCTATACACTGCAGATGATGGTAAGATTCTTTTAAATGTTTTACATAGTCAGTAGTAAGCAAATACAGAAGTATTCTTATAATAGTTTTGGTTTATTAGTAGGGAAAATGTCACCTTCACAAGAGGTGTTGTCAACCACATCTGGACCAGCATCATTGTCTTTATCTGCTGAGAAACCTGGACCGTCCTCTACCAACAACAAAGGTAAAACCTGTTGCTGTTTTGGCTGATCCCTTCTTCGGGGGTTGCCACAGCGTGAAAACTTGCGTGAAAGATTTGGCAATTGTTTTACATAATTCATGACGCAACCTGGGCTTGAACCTGCAGCCTCAAAATTACAGGACTGGTGCACTGACCGCTGACCTACCACAGCCAGTCATGGTAAAACATAAGTATTGGAAAACAATCAACTTGGTCATTCTGTCCATAAACATCCATCCATCAGTTCATCCTTACATCATTCCTTCCTTCCTTCCTTCCTTCCTTATATCATTCCTTACATCCTTCCTTCCTTATATCCTTCCTTACATACTTGCATCCTTCCTTACATCCATCCTTCCTTCATTACATCCTTCCTTACATCTTTACATCCTTCCTTCCTTCATTACATCTTTATATCCTTCCTTCCTTATATCCTTTCTTAGATCTTTCCTTCCTTTCTTCCTTACATAATTGTATCCTTCCTTCCTTATATCCTTCCTTACATCCTTCCTTCCTTATATCCTCCCATACATCCTTCTTTCCTTCCTTACATCCTTCCTTCCTTACATCCTTCCTTACATCCTTTCTTCCACATCCCTCATTCCTTACATCCTTTCTTCCTCATGTCCTTCCTTCCTTCCCTTCTCATACCCTTCCTTCCTTCCATCCTTTCTTACACCCTTTCTTACATCCTTCCTTACATCCTTTCTTCCACATCCTTCCTTCCTTACATCCTTTCTTCCTGATATCCTTCCTACCCTTCTTATATCCTTCCTTCCTTATATCCTCCCTTACATCCTTCTTTCCTTACATTTTTTCTTCCTTTCTGGGTTTCGGGGGTCACTGGTGCCCATGTCCAGTAGTCACTGTGTGAGAGGCAGGGGACACCCTGGACAGGTCTCCAGTTCAGATATTAAACATGTTTAAGATAAATACAGTTTATTTGCAGATTACAACAAGTACTTCATATTTCTCATTAATATGAACAAGACCATATTTGGCATTGAATCACTGATATATTCTTAACTTTAAATACTAATTTGTCAACTAGGTAACTTACTTTATTCACCCAAAAATGAATGCAGTCAAACAGACCTAAACTAGTGGAGGGTGTAGAGAATTTAATAATGCTTTTGAATAATTCTTGTAATTTGCTTTTATGTTGATTTGTGTCTTCATTCTTGAAAGCTATTATTTTGAACGTTACAGTAAATCCCTCCCTGTGAGTTGAGTCTCATTTCAGAGTAAATTTGTTTTCCACTTCCTAATCTATCCAACAGAGGGAGTCATTTACCTTTTCAGTTAAGAGGGCTGAGCAATGGTTTGCAGTTTTCCCACAGTTTTCACCTAAAAGCTGTTTTTATTTAGACATAATTCAGAAACAACACAATTTTTTTAGTTTTTTTTTTAATACAAAATTTGCCAGACTACATTTCTAATTTTTACACAGCACTACAAAACAAAAAATGCTATACATTAATAATAATTTTTTGCTTTCGTAACACTTTAATACTTAAAGGCTTTAATCATAGTGTGATTTAAGAACAGATGAAGAGATATTATAAGACACTCTGGTAAGGGAGCCATATAGGAAAATGTAAGTTCAGTTTGTTTTCTGGTCTCTGAGCTTGAAAATAAAATGTAAATCTCTTTTATCATATTGTTGCCAAGTGGCCACAGCAGTGTGCCAGAACTTATTCACTCCACTGTTTTGTCATCAGTCAGTTTTATCTAACATTACTAATGGTCTAAATAATGGTCTGTTTCCTGCTGCTGTGGCTGGTGCCATGTAACATATCTAATGCATCCGGTGTTGTATTGGTTCTTCTCCTAATAGCTTAGCTTTTGTTCGCTCGGTTGTTTTACAGCACCAACTGCTCTCATCACTGACATACCCAGTAGTCCTCCTCAATTGAAGATGTAGGCATGTGGGTGGATAATGAGGGCATGTTGTATTGTGTGTTTGTGCAAGCGTAGGTGGGTGTCTCTATGTGCATGTTGTGACTGAGGGAGTGTGTGTGGGCTGATGGCTCCTCCAGTTCATGGCTTTATGAATATTGTGTTGAGGACTGATTCCCCCTGTACTGGTGCGCAGACGTAGGGGGGAAGTGTAGGGTGAGAAAGTTGACTAATTTGACTGTGCAAAGACGAGAGTCAAGGTTTCCTCGTTGCATCCTTTCATCCTTGTTACCTCAGAAATCCTGCCCGATACAGAAAACTTGGTGTTCTGTTTAATTGTTCAGCCAGTGAAGTTGTCCAAGAAATTTCTTAACAGTCAAAAATCAAACCACAGGTTTGGCGTCAACGTGTTTTCTCTTAACGCTTTGATCACTTTCTGATATTTGCCTAAATTGCATTTTCAGAATGCCAATAACAATATATTGCTAAATGCCACAATCCAAGTGTTTAAAATGAGCTGTGGGGAAAATAATGGCTTGGGAGACTGCAGGTTTTATTTGAGGGCCTGAGTTCAGATTTCTGTATGGATTTTACTGTCCACAATCTGCTTATTGAGTTATAGTTTGATGATTTGGCTCAGGGATGCATTGAAGAAATCAGTGAAAATTCAGCTCAATGCTGGAAGTGGGTGTTTTTTGATGTCCTCCTTGATGGATTAGCCTACAGACACAAAGAGTGGGTTGGGAGGATTATTAAATCATGATCTTTCAGTGGCTAGTCTTTATTAAATAGTGGATAATTTGCACTAAAGGCTGCATTTTTTTTTTTACCTTAAGTGTGGTTGAGATGGGATTTGCTTATTAGATAATCAGTGATAGTACTCTTTTAAAGCCAGAGAGCTAAGAGGAAAAGTAAAAAAAAAAATCCACACTAGTTTTTGTGTGAGAGTGCAGTGTTTCTCCTATCATTAATTACACAAGCAGGACACCCTGGCCTGTGAACAGAACTGAGCACCCTACCTACTGAACTGCCACTAACGTAGAGCTAAGCTAGCTACGCACAATACCGATGTGCTAGCTAAGCGCTCCATTTTCTTCACACATAGACAGCGCTAGTCATGTGCAGATGAATACTAAAATATTGATGCTATCGATACCAGAACTTTGTGCTCTAGAATCAATCCTTAAGGTCTTTTTCACACCAGATAGTCCGGTAGACTCGGTTCGGTTGGGGACCAATATTCATGACCTTTTGTTTACATTTGAGCTGGTGCGTTTGCATTCACACTGCACTGTGCAGTCGAGTCAACCTGTTGAACCAACCTATTCCCCCACTCTCCTGTGGGGGCGCTGCACCAAGAACTACCGAAAGAAACAACACAAAAACCTCTGAAGACATGTCTTCTTCTTCTGTAAATAAAAATAAAAACGAAGTGGCATCAAGTTTTAGCAGTTTTAGGAGTTATATTTTGTCATTTTTCAAAAATGGACTTAGCATGAGCAGAAGATGAGACAGAAGACCATGGAGAATATTGTTTTTTCACACAAGGCAGCTGACGGCTCCATATAAGGTCAGAGAAATGCGTGTTTGTTTGTCCTGTGGAGCGGGGCCCGGTCTGTTTGCATTCACACTGTACTCGAACCGCGTTGCAGTTCGCTTCTACCGGACCGAGACCTAGGTTTTAGCCCGGGCCAGAGTTCGCCTTTTTGTTCCGTGACAGAGTTTGATGGTGCATTCACACCTCCCCAAACGAACCAGACTTTCTAGGAAAACGAGCTAGAGTTCCATTAAAGCGGACTAAACAGGGCTAGTGTGAATGCACCCTAAATCAAATTATCAATACTTTTGATACTTCAATCATTTCAGGTAATGCATACCATTAACAGGAAGATGGTGGAAAGTAACAAAACTATTTAGATCTTGTCTAAATGATACACGGTTGGTGGGAACTACTTTTTCTCCGCCTCTGTAAGTGTGTAATGCGTGGAAGCAGAATGGCATGCTGCTCAGTCTGTAGCCACAATGGTGGAGTGTAAACAGTCATGTGTGGAGCTATTTCAGATCCAAAAACAGCCGAGAAGTGGTTTGTGAGGTTTGTGGGAAAACTCTAAAGAGCTGTGGCTACACAACAAACCTTGTAAAACATCTCCAGTTAAACCAGAATACGAGGCATTGATTATGTAATGGACAGAGGAGGAGAGCAAAGAGTCAGGTGCTGCTGCTGCTCCTAGGGCAAGATGGGCATCTCTGTTGGAGTCCTTCAGTGCTGTAGGACTATCCAGGTACAGAGGGAGGAAATGTGGAGCTTTAAGCTACTCCAAGAACTATTGCAGTTTGTCTGAGTTGTTCAAATGAATAAATATGGTTATGAATTAGTAACAAAATAATGCTTCAACAGATAGTGGTATGAGTTCAAATTGGAGTAATTATTAATTCAACCTTTATTTATACAGGTTAATCCCATTGAACCTCGGGGGCTCATTTATAAGAGAGACCTGATTTTAACAAAGAGTGATGACAACAGTAGAAAATCATTAAAAAGCACACAAATTGAGAAGAACAAATAAAAGAAAATGGTATTAAAATTAAAAAACAAAAAAACATCTAGGTTATAAAGCAATGTAGAAAACTAAAAACAAGAACATGTCTGCACTGGTTTTTGCCATGAACTTAGCAGATGTTTGAAGCCACTTAGAGAGGTCAAGGTCGAGAGCTTCATGTCTTTTTTTCAAGATAGTCCAGGAAACAGGAGCAGTGTAGGATAATTATATTTGTATCACTGAGATAAGCTCACATAGGTAAAAATAATAATTTAAAAAAATCAGACAAGTTTCCTAAAGAATTGATCATTTAAAATGGATTACATAGACTAGGTGTTGTCAAA